GAGAAAAGACATCTAGGTTGTTACAAGTAGGGGTGAGACGATTCCGGATATCCTGGAATTTCAGGGTATCCGGATCCGGAATTGTCGGATCCGTAGAAAAACTATCCGGATCTGTGATCTCCGGATATCCGTGCTCTAGATATCCGACCAAAAATCAGGATATCCGCGGATATCCGGATCCGGATCAGGATCCGAAATTAATATTAAAAATAATTAAAATATTAATAAATAAATAAAAATACATTTTTAAAAATTATTAGTTAATATTTTAAATGGTATTTTTCATTATAAATATAATTTATTATAAAAAGAACTAAAATCAATTTTATCTATATTTATTTATATAAAATTAGTTGAATAGATATATAATATATATGTTTTTAATAGATTTAATGCGTCCGGATCCGGATATCCGGACTTTAAAATTTTGCTATCCGGATCCGGGCTCTCCGGCTACCCTAATTTTCGGAACGATTCCGAACGGATAACGGATCGGATCACGGATCCCGGATAATAAATTCACCCATAGTTAAAGACATAGGCCTGTTTTTGATGACCATTTCCATCGGATATAACTTTTTTTATCGTAAAATTATCGATAATACATTTTATCATTGCTACTAATATATAAGTAAATATTATCATTTTCACATGGTCTACCTTTGTGTTTTTCTTTCGGAAAGTAAAATTCAAAGGGACCAAAAAAAGATATGAATGCACATATACTATTGTGAATTTGTCATCTTTGGGGGGGGGGGGGGAATTGTATCTTTCTCGCTAAGATACCATCAATTTTAGAATTTATTGACCAACTAACCCTTATTATCCTTTTAACAAAAATAAAATAAATAATCCTCATTCATTGTTTTTCACCTATTGTTCTTGTTTCTTATTTATTCTCCTTCTATTTATAGTTTGTTTTTACGCGGTAAGTAGGTCCCTGATTCATTAACCAATAATATACTCCGACGAAATTTTGTTATGGTAATGAGTTTTCTAAAAAGTTAGTAAAACAAAAATCAATTTAGGTGGTTGGTTATGTACGAGAAATAATTGGAATGTAAACAAAATGTATAGGGGGACCATATATTTTGGTAGAATTCATAGAAGGAAGATATAATCTCTTTCATGAAAAACAAAAGATAGTGAAATTAGTAAGGGGTGGAAAAAAAATCATACTCTCATGCAATAAAAACCTTTTACAGTTTTTCTCAGTACGAACTGCCTCTGCCTCTTGATCTGCGATTTCGTCGGACTCTCAAATCTTGGTTCGGTTACTCAACTCCAGCGAGATGCATATCGACGTGGAGGATATTATCGACGACATTCGGGATTTGATAGCTTCTTTAGAC